GATTCTGCTGCGACGACGACTACTATGATCGCTCGACCGCTGCTGCAACAACGACTCTGTGATCTGATTTAAAAAACAGTCACTCTCTCCATTTTTCTAGTTCCTGAAGAAGAAGCACTCTGTTGAAGAAGAAGAAGAAGGAACGGAAGCATTCATAATCCTTTGGTCGTAGCCTTGTCTCAAAGTTCAAAGCCACTGTACTCTTTTTGAAGAAGGAAGCATTCATAATCCTTTGGTCGTAGCCTTGTCTCAAAGTTCAAAGCCACTGTACTCTTTTTGAAGAAGAGATTCCCTTTGTTGAGGTCTGCCAACGACTGTCTCAAAGTTCAAAGCCACTGTACTCTTTTTGAAGAAGAGATTCCCTTTGTTGAGGTCTGCCAACGACTTTTTTTTTGCCTTAAAGCTGATAGCCAACTCTTTACAGCTAGCCTCTTCAAGTCTTGTCACATCTCTTTTTTTTAATTTGTTGAGACTACACCCTTTTGTTTTTCGGTCCTACATCCAATCTACAACCAAGCCGGACTTAGACTTGTTCCTAGTCTTGTGACCCTACTCCTATCACGTGTCATAACCTACTCCTAGCACGTGTACTACCCACTTGATCATCTTCAAGGCCTACTCGTGACCTACCTGTTCAAATTCAAGATTAAAGCCCACGGGTCCCACTGCCTCAGCATTTGAAGAAGGTGACTTGCTCTCAAGACGTCAAAGCTACGACAACAGATTCTTCGGTCAACACCGCTAAGTGCCAAACTCGCTCAAATTGGAGCCTCTTTCATCAGCTCGCAAAAATCAGGTTCATTTTAATTTATTTATTTATTTATCTATTTTTTTTGTATTTGTCAAAATATCAACCTTATACAAATTTAAAATTGAATTTAGTTTTAGTTCTCTACCGAATGACTAGTAAACTCGTTCTATCAGAACTAGGGAAAATTGACAAATTCAATGGCAGTAATTATGATATGTGGCATAGAAAAATAGGGTATGCTCTTATTCATGACAATATTAATGATATAATCGAAACCACTGCTCCAACCCTTATTGATAAATCTACACTTGAAGAAAAGAAAGGGTTTGAACAGTGGAAGTCGAAAGACAAAAAGGCAAAAAGTCTTATGCTCATGTTGATGGAAGATAATTTAATTAAAGTTTTTGAAACTTATAAAACTTCCATGGACATGTGGAATGCAATAAAAGAAAAATATGACACTGCTAAAGTTTTTGAAACTTATAAAACTTCCATGGACATGTGGAATGCAATAAAAGAAAAATATGACACTGCTTCTGAAGTTAACATCCAACTACTCTTGCATAAGTATAATTCTTGTCGTATGCAAGAGGGAGATAATGTCGTAGAGCATATAAATAAAATGATTATCATGGCTAAGGACTTATCCACAGCTGGGACCGAAATCCCGGAAAGAATGCAAGTGACAACCATTTTGAATAGTCTTCCCCCTTCACTTGCTGTGGCTGCCACCACATTAAGAATGAATCCTGCCATTAAGTCTGTCACTGATCTTCCTATGCACCTAGCGATAGAACATGACTTAATAGCCAGTAGGAAGGAACCAGAACTGAATATGGTGCAGCAAGAGCTGAATTATGTCCGCCAGAGGCATAATGCTGGAAGCTATAAAAACCCTGGTTCTAGTAAACCACAACCACGAGGACCGAAATCGCAGCAGTCCAAGAGAAAGAAAGTACCCCGTGGAGCCTGCTACAATTATGGAAAGTTCGGGCATTTTAAACCCAATTGCCCACAAGGTGAAAAGCAGGAGAATAAGGGAGGCTATAAGCATCCAGAACAAGGGGGTACTAGCAAAAGAGAATTCGTCGGTGTGACGGAATGTAATGCTGTGATGATGGATATCAGTGGTTGGTGGATCGACTCCGGTGCGACTAGGCATATCGCAAAGGACAAGAATGGAGTCGTAGAATTCACCGAGCTGAAGAAAGGAGAACAGAGAATCTATATGGGAAATAATACATATCTCGATGTAGAAGGTATTGGTTCGTATAGATTGGATCTTGGGGACAGCATTCTTGTCCTCAAAGATGTGTTCTATGCACCAGGAATTCGACGCAATCTGATCTCTGTTCCCAGCTTGATGAAGAAAGGACTGGAAGTGAGGTTCTATAATAACAGGGTTTCTATAGGCAAGAATAATAAAGTGTATGCTATGGGAAAATATGTGCCCGAGCATGAATTATGCATTCTTCCAGTAGTTTGTAATAATTCTGATAATAAAATTTCGAATTTGAACTACTTGTCCTGTTATATTTCTGAATCTGAATTGTGGCATTTTAGACTAGGACATGCTAGTATTTCAAAAATGAAAGAAATTATCAGAATGAACTTGCTTCCTGCACTATCTAATGTTCAATTACCACCATGTGAACATTGTTTAACTGGTAAAATGACTAGAAAACCTTTTGTTGGCGGACATAGAGCCAATGAACTTTTAGGGTTGATACACTCGGATATTTGTGGTCCCCTAAGTGTCAAAACTCATAGTAATAAAGAATATTTTATTACTTTTATAGATGATTATTCCAAGTTTGCACACGTCTATCTTATATCCAGAAAATTAGAAGCTTTTGACTGCTTTAAGAGATATAAGACAGAAGTTGAAAACCAACTTGGATTGAAAATCAAAATTCTGAGAACTGATAGAGGTGGAGAATATAATTCTAAAGAATTTGAAAGTTATTGTATTCAGCATGGAATTAAAAGGCATACAACAATGTCGTATATGCCACGACAGAATGGTGTTGCTGAAAGAAAGAACAGAACATTATTAAATGTAGTTAGATGCATGTTGTCTCATTCTGGTCTCTCTAAAAACTTTTGGGGAGAAGCATTGTTAACTGCAAACTACATTTTAAATAGAATTCCCACCAAATCAGTTATATCTACACCTTATGAATTATGGAATGGGAGGAAACCTAATTTGAGTCATCTCAGGAAGTGGGTATCTATAGCCCATGTTCTCATTCCATGTCAACTTAGAGATAAGTTGGATTTTAAAACAATAAAGTGTAGATTCATAGGGTATTCAGAAAAGTCAAAAGGTTATAAGTTCTACAATAAAGAAAAATGTGTTATTAAAAGCAGAGATGCTACATTTCTAGAGAATCTAGAGGAAGAGGAACAAGTTCAAGAGGAAACAGAACCTCTAACTATAATAGATGATGATTATTATAGTGTTGTTCCCACTAATGACCCTGATATTGTGAATGAACCTAACCATAAAAATAATAAAATACCTATGGAAAATAATGTACCTAATCAACCGGTTGTAGGCAACAAAAGGCCAAGAACACAACCTTCATGGATGGATGATTACTATTTGTATTCATGTGAGTCATCCTGTTTTTCGGTAGATACAAATATAGAAGAACAAGATCCCTTAACTTTTTCTGATGCGATGAAATCGCATGAATCAGCTTCATGGCTAGAATCTATGAGAGAAGAACTTGATTCCATAGAAAAGAATAAGGTATGGGAGTTATGTGATCTACCAGAAAATAGGAAAGCCATAGGATGCAAATGGGTGCTCAAAAAGAAATATCGTGTTGATGGATCTATTGATAAATTCAAAGCACGGTTAGTTGCCAAAGGTTATAACCAGAAGGCAGGAATAGATTTTCAGGAGACGTATTCTTCTGTAGCTAAATTTACATCCATTAGAATTATTTTGGCTATTGTTGCATATCTTGATTTGGAGTTATTCCAAATGGATGTTAAAACTGCATTCCTTAACGGAGAGTTGAAGGAAGCAATATATATGCAACAACCTGAAGGTTTTCAGGTGAAAGAACAGGAACATAAAGTTTACAAATTAATGAAATCTCTATATGGTTTAAAACAGTCTTCTAGACAATGGTATCTCAAATTTCATGATGCAGTTACTAAACTTGGTTTTATTCAAAATAAATTAGATAATTGTGTATATGTCTTGAAAAGTGGGAGCAAGTTTACTATATTATCCTTATATGTGGATGATATATTGCTCGCTGGAAATGACATAGAAATGTTGAATAAAACCAAGGCAGATCTCAGCGAAAAGTTTGAGATGAAAGACATGGGAGATGCATCATATATTCTTGGAATTCAAATAATTCGAGATAGAAAGTCTAGAATGCTAAGTTTAAACCAAGAAAAATATTGAAGATCAGTTCTTAAAAGGTTTGGAATGGAGAATTCCAATCCGGCACCAACTTCGTTGGTTATGGGAAAGAGATTATGTAAAGAGCAAAGCCCTGGAGAAGGGCAGAAGCCATTAGATGTTCCTTATGCTCAAGCAATTGGAAGTTTGATGTATACATTGTTGTGCACCAGACCTGATATAACTTATGCTGTGAGTCTAGTCAGTAGATATCAAAGTAATCCAGGACCAGCACATTGGGAAGCTGTTAAAAGGATTATGAAGTATATCAGAGGTACATTGACTCATAGATTAGTTTATCAAGCTGATTCGCTTGAACTCCTCGGTTATTCCGATGCTGATTTCGGAGGTGATAAAGATAATGAAAAGTCCATTTCGGGACACTTATTTATCTTTCTTGGAGTAGCTGTTTCTTGGAGTAGCAAGAAACAAGGGTGTGTTGCTAGATATACACAAGAAGCTGAATATATAGCTTGCAGTATGGCAACTACACATGCTGTCTGGATAAGACGGTTTTTGATTGATCTTGATCTCAATTTGTTAGAAGGACCTATTGATATTTATTGTGATAATCAAGCAGCAATTAGCTTAATCAATAGTGGCGCGAATAGCTCCAAAGGAAAACATATTGAGATCCAGTATCACTATATTCGAGATATTGTAGAAAAGGGAGAAGTCAAAGTGACTTATATCCCTACTACAGATATGATTGCTGATCCTTTGACAAAAGGAATACCAGCGGAATCTTTTATCAAACATGTAAGTTTGATGTAACTTAGGAATAAATAAGTCCAAGTAAAATTTTATGAATAAAAAAATAAGAGTTACTCTCTACGGATAGTGGGAGTAATGGTAAGCAGAAACATCTGATCTCACGGATAGTGGGAGGCATATCACTTGGTTAATTTGGTCAAGTGGGAGATGTTAGCTTGACTCAGCCATGGATGACCAAATCAACAACGGTTTCTCAGTAGAGAGAATCGTGGAGAACGTGAATTGGGGTTTGTTGAAAGATTTTCTCTCAGAGGCAGTTTGAGGGGGGTGGAGTAATGGGATTTCAGCCTATAAATAGAGGAGTAATCTCCTTGAGAAAAAACAACGAAAAGGAAAATCAAACCCTTTACCCATTACCGGAGCCCCCCTCAAAGATATCATCTTTCTTCTTCTCTGTCTTCTTCAAGAAATCCCTAAATCTATTGCCTTGCGTGTGCGCGCGTCTTTTTTATTTTTATTTATTTTTATTTTTTTTGTGTGTTGGTTAATTACAAACATGGCTCGTCTACCTCTCACAAACTCTAAACACCTCGAAGGTCATGTGACAAAATCTCATGAAGTTTATTTCCCTGGCATATCATCTACCAAGGAAAAAGATTTCTATTGTATCCTAGCAATATCGCCTTAATCCATAGATTTGTGAAACTTTACTTAATTGTATAAAGTTGATACGTTAATGTACATGTTGAAATTATCACCGTATATGACCACGTACGATGCTGTTTTCGAACAGGAAACCGAAACTTCCGACGATCTTTCGCTCAAGGTAAGCCTAATCTGGCGTAGTCGGTGCTGTTCTGGCTCTGGAACATAGACTGAGAGTCTGACTCGCTCGGGCCTGGACTGTGTTGCGGCGGTCGCATGCAACCAGGCCGGCTTATGCTCCGGCTGCGTTTGCTCACCGCTGAAAGGAGGCTGCGCTGCGGCGGTCGTACTCGCGGAGTCATCATACGCTGCCGGATTCACCATTGCTGAACGCCATCCGATGGAACTGCCGGAGATCTGCGGCGTATTGTCCGGAGCTGAACGCTTGGCTTTGGCCGTATTTTACGCCGTTGGAGAGATCTTGCATGTCATTTTGGCAGTCTAGCGCCCTCACTACCTGTAAGATGAAGGATAACAATTAATTAAGTTATATAAAAAGGGGGATTATTTACGTCCCAGTATCCTTTGGTCTGTGTACCTAGCTACAAGGACAGCCCTGAATATTATTGACCGCGATAACATGCGTAACCCCAATGAAAGTAGTATTTTGGTCATTGAGGGACCAAACCGCGAGACCTCTTAGGATTTGAGGGACTTATGAGCAGTTTCAAAGATTTATGCGACTAATTATACGGAATTACTGAAGATTTGAACTACTAATATCCAAAAACCATAAGATACTATGCTCACGAAACAGGTAACAAACCTGAACCATACGAGGTCGCTTAGACGCAGAATGGCGAACGCATGCAGCTGCAGCTTCAATCATGATGAACATCTCAGCCTTGTTATAGTTTCCCTCCAGCCTTGGGTCAACTAACTCTTCACAGTTTCCCGTCTCGAGGGCCTGGACCAGGAGCGGCCGTGCCTGCAAAACAAGCATCCATTGTCATGTGACATCAGAGAGAACGATAATAGGAGGTCATAACAATCGATAATATGTTAATTCGTCTTAGTGTCGATTTCACAAAACCCACCTGAACTTTGGGGGTTTTTTGTACATAACCACCCGAAGTTAGTTGAACCTGTCTCACTTAACCGCCCAAAGTAGCACCGTGTACTTTAATGGTCACGTGCTTGGCACGTGAAAAGAGAAGGGCGAAAATACACCTTAGATTATTAAAAATTACCCCCTTATTCTTTTTTCATTTTGGGGGGTTAATATCAAAACAGCCATTTTGGTCATTTCACCATTAGCAAGTAACAATGCCAAGGGGGTATGTTGTAAGAACTTCAAATTTCAGGAGGGTTAAGTGAGATACCCCAATTCAGGGGTTAAGTGAACAAAGTTTAGGGAGGTTATGTGCAAAACCCCTCGAAGTTCAGAGGGACAAGTGAAATTTACCCTTTATCTTTATGTTATACAATGATGCAAAAAGTACAGGAAGCATCTTTTGCATAGCACTATCATAACCATCCTGAAAAGAATTGTGTAAACTATCTTATGTTATATAATATATGAACTTTGAAATAGGAATGGTGTTCAAGTCTCTTGTGCAATTTAGGCAGGTTAAAAGTTGCCAATCCTGTTTTGAAGGGTAGCTCAAAGTTATTGGAGGAAAAAAGCACGGTAATTCACTATTATAAAAGCAAGCATGCCATAGTTTTCTGTCGGTTTCTACAAATTTTGCGTAGATGACTAAATGTAATATGCATCTAACAATCTATTTCTTTGCATTAGGATTACCCTAACATAAAGAAATGTAAAATAAATATATTCAGAATGTTGATATTGATGTTTAACTTATTAGTTGTTGCAAACTTGCACTTGCATTCTGATTCAATGTTACTGCATGTAAAAGCTCAGCCGAAAGGTTGTTTGCTAACACTGAGCGTATATGTTCTTCAGTTCATCAATCTGAAGAATGTAGCGTCAATGTTAATTTCAAAAATCATCTTTTGCTGCTGACATTTACAAGTAGTATTTTGTTATATTCTCTTACAAGTTTGTGAAGGCACATGGCATTCTTGCCTAGTAATACTGTATAATTTCAGGGTGTTATTCCCTTAAATTTCAAAAGTTTTGCTAGGACAAACTAAAGGCTTCCATAAGGAAAGATTTGACTTACTATTAAATTGCATCACAAAGCAGCACCAAAGCTCTTGGCTTCTTTTAAAGGGTTAATTACAAATAGACACCTGTACTATCGTTTTTTTGAACTGACTACCCCTCTAGTTTTATTGTTGCACATAGACCCTAAGTGATTTTTTTTAAAAAACTTTTTACCCTCTGGATATCTGTTTATCAAAGGATTTGCTCTTCCATCACAGCCTTGTGATTTACACAGTGATAAAACAACTCACACGTGCATTTTGATATCCCCCTTCAATGCTATAGCAAAATAGTGAAATGAAATTCTTATTTGTAAGAATGCATTCATTCTTTATCTATACATCCTGTAAAAATTAAGAGAACACAAAAAGCTCTCTTTATATACTTCATGTGTTTCAAAATTTTCTTGCTTTTAACCATGTTCAAAGTTGTGTATTTTGACACAACTCATTAAATTCATAGCTATTATGTTTCTAATTACAGACTTCTGATATATAAGTTTCAAGAGGTATGTGGATGCCATGAGAAAAAAATATATATTTAAACTTTCAACAACCAACCTTTTGTGAAGCTAGTATGTATTAAAATTTCGAAATAGAACGTCAATTATCAAAACGGGTAAGGATTAATATGAAAGAAATATGATACGAGCATTACCCATTCGACCAAACTCTCATCTCCTAAAGGTCTTCTAGAATCTACAGGTTTCCGTCCTGTTATAATTTCAAGCAGCACAACTCCGAACGAAAATACATCTGACCTGTCAGTTAATTTCCCACTAGATGCATACTCTGGTGCCATGTATCTGAAAATTAAGATGTTTTTACATATGAGTATACAATTATACATTTCCTTTTTATTTGCACGGAGAACAAAACCGAAGAATTGATGAAAATCTAAGCAATTTAAACAACATTAGTATTTTGATAACTGTCCTATGAAATTAAAACCTACCCGAATGTCCCCATAACACGAGTTGATACATGGGTATGCGTGTCATTTGAAAGTTTTGCAAGTCCAAAATCTGCAACCTGTGTTTTATTAGGGAAAAAAGGGATTTAACATGAGAAGTTGATACTCAACAATTAATTTTATTAATGTAATTCAGTCTGAATGTATGCACACCTGTGGTTCAAAAGAATCTTCCAAAAGTATATTAGCTGATTTTATGTCCCTATGAATAATTTTAGGATGACCTTAAGACATAAGAAAAAACCAAGTCAAGATCAGATGAAATCAAACATTTGCTGGAAAGTATGCTACAAAAATGAAAATAACATACAGTCTTCATGTAGATATGCCAATCCTTTAGCAGAACCAATAGCAATTTTCTTTCTGTTTGACCAATTTAGTGAATTTTGTCCTGTTAAGAATTCCAAAGCCAATTTTCAGAAATTCAACTAAATCAAACAATTCTAAGGCATCTTTGGTAAAAAGTTACCGTGTAAATGATGCTCGAGAGTATTATTTGGGAGGAACTCATAAACAAGTAAGCGATGATGCTCGGCAATGCAATATCCCACAAGAGAGACCAAATGTCGATGGTGAACTCGACTAATGATCTCAACTTCTGCCATAAATTCTCTCTCTCCTTGTCCACTACCAGCCTTGAGTTGCTTCACGGCAACTTTTCTACCATCAACAAGAGTTCCTTTATATACACATCCAAAACCCCCCTCACCAATCATATTTTCTTGAGAAAATCCCCCAGTTACTTCAGCTAACTCTGCGTATGTGAACCATGACTTAGATCCAGCAGGTACATTTGGATCCATTGGACCCGAATGATACCCGTAACTGTTATTACCGATAACTCCCGAAGAACTAGATTGTCCTTGCGATAGATTGTAAGAGTCAGTAGCAGTTGAATCCGCCATTTGGCTATAATAATTTCTGTCTGTTATAAGAGAAAATAGGTCAAATATGCATAACCTGAATCAGATATCGATTACTTCTACAAGGGTAAATTGCACATGACCCCCATATCTATACCTTGAGTTGCACTAAACCCCCTCGACTCATTTACTACCACGTAGTACCCTTTAAATGCCATTGTTAAAAGATAAATTGCAAGTATCGCCCCATCTTTCTCTACAATTGAAGGGGGCTAACTACTAGTAAATGATTTTTTTTGGCGGTTTTTCTTTTTTTTCAACTCCAAGTGTAGATTAGGTGGGTTAAGTGCAATTTACCCATTCTACAATTACCAATTTTACCAATTGAAATGCTGGTGGGAGGTCGATAGTCAATTGCATCCAACCTCCTCTGTTTTTTCCTCTTCATCATCACAAAGAACGCAACAATTAGCACGATTACCACTCCTCCGATAGCCACACCGGCAATAAGCCCAACGCTTGAGCTTGATGAACCTTTAGATGGTCCTAAGGTTGAAGGAGAAGAAGAAGAAGAGGAGGAAGAGGAAGAAGATGAAGAATCTGACGATGATGATGAAGAAGATGACGATGATGAAGTAGACGAAGAAGAGGAAGAGGGAAATTGCTTAGGAGAGTTTTGAACGGAATCTGAAGGGTTTGACGATGACGATGGATTCTTTGGTACATTGTCACTAGGTGGTGTTATAGTTATTTGTGAATCCTTTGGAGGCGGCGTTGTGGTAGGTGTCGAGCTAGAGGACCCAGAAGGTATAGGATTTGAGACAGCAGGAGATGGTGGCGAAGGTGAAGCAACGGGTGTAGGTGGTGGAGGAGGAGCACTGGTTTTAGGCTCCTCCAGTGATGATGATGATGCATTGGATGAGGATGTACCTTCCTCTGGTGGTGGTGGTGCATCGGATGAGGGTGTAGGCTCCTTCGGTGGTGGTGGTGCAGTGGATGAGGGTGTAGATTCCTCGGCTGGTGGTGGTGAAGAACTAGGTTTTGGTGGGGGAGGAGTTGATGGAGGAGGCGTTGTGGGTGGAGGAGGTGAAGATTTGGGTGGCGTAAGGGGCACCGTTGAGTTTGAGCTCGCAGATGTTGAGTTTGATGGTGGAGGTGGACGAGAAGTAGGAGGCGATGGTGCGGAGGAGTTCGAAGAAGCATTCGACGTGGAGTTAGTGGAGCTAGAGTTCGACATTTTTATGATGTGTTTAAGGAGTAGGATCAAAACTCAATTCAATCATTCTCTTGAGTAAAGTTGAGGCCTTCTTCCTTCCTACAATATATTCAACATTAATTATGGGTGGAAAATTGAATAAGGAGGGGAAAAAAATGGTTCAATAATTTTTGGAAGAAACTATACAATAAAATGAATTGCCTTCGAGGAGCGATCAAGCATAACATTTGCCATGAATCTCTCCTTCCTATTGCTCCTCTTTAGTCTTTGTCCAAAATTAAGAGGAAAATTTTATCAATTCTTAATGAATTTCTCTTCCTATTTGCTAGGAAAAAGGTTGCAAAATCTGATCTTTACCCCAACTTCATTCATTTAGCTCTCCTCTTAGAAGAGAACAAGAAGGGAGGAATGTGTAATCCGACTACGGGGGAAAAATTATCAACATATTATTTAGGGGGAAATTGTGCAAGCCTCAATCTTTGCTCTCTCAAACAATTGCAGATGAAAAAGATTGAAACTTTTGGTGCAAAAAAAGTGCTCTAAAGGAAACCCTAGGGCAAAACTTCATATGTCTGATTTTCAAGGAAAACCCACTTGAAGGAGATAATTGAGAACCCAACTAAGAACAAAAAATTGTCAATTTGCAGAATTCAACACCAAATTAAGCCAATGTTGCAACCCAGTAAACAAATTAGACGTGAAAATTAGAACAAAAGAGGGGAAAAAGATCAAATGGGTACCTCTGATTTTCTTCTTCAATCACTTTTGCATCTAATTTCCTTCTTTTTTTTCTTTTCTTTTTATTTTCTTTTTCTTTTTTAAAGGAGAGAAGGTGCATAATTTTGTTCAATGGTGGATAAAAGAGTTTTCCCAAAAGAAATTGGCAAAAATAGTAAGCAACTGTTATTGTCCGCGGACTATGCATAAACCTCCGGATTTGGCGCGAAATCCAAGCCTGAGTGTTTAAATGTCAAAAGATTAGTATTAGACCCTCATATCTTTGTTAATTACCAATTAGTCCTAGAATCCTTGAAATTGCCCATACATCCACCAATCCTAAGAGTTATTGCAATTAGGCCCCTTAGTGACTAAAAATGCCCTAGCTAATGCGTTTTCGAACAATGAGGCTTTTGGTGCTTTCGAGAGAAACATAAACTGAGATATATTTGGTTGTCGAGGAATCAAATTGCAAGACTTCTTAGGATTTGAGGGACTTATAAGCAATTTCAAATATCCAAGGGACAAATATAAGATTATTGAAGATTTGGGACCCATTTCTAAGAGCATGTCTGTTTCCATGCATCTTGTGGGTTTTCCATTGAAAAGTGGGACCCACAAGCTTAAACTTCTAGGATATTATCAACTATATTGTTTGTTGTTACTTTCCATGCATTGAATTTGAGGTTGACACGCAGGATAAATGTATCAAATGTGATCCCTTAAAATTATGTTGATTTTATTTGAATTTGTGATTTTAGTGATATGTCCTTAAGAAAATACATGTACAACCAAACAACATTTGATTGGATTTTATCCTTATGCTAATATAATTTTATATCCATTGCAAAACAAACATAATTTTGAGTATGAATTTTTCTATATCCATAACATGCATCATAAATAATCCACGAACCAAACAACCCCTAAGTAACTATTCCTGTTTTAGAGTGTATCTTCTACATGTTGATATGAATGGAATATTGGAGGTCTTATGTGAAAAAGATTCTTTGGAAGGATATCATTTATATGGTTGGATTCCATAGGTGGAAACATGTTTAATTAGTAATATGTGAGTATTAGTCAATATTGACTAAGTGAATATGTTTCAAGTGGTTTAAATTAATATACGTGTTATATATAGTGTAACAAAGATGTTAAAATGCACCCTTATGTTGGCATGCTAGCGAGTGGGTAGGCTCGAGTGATCGGGTCCAAGTACATGGGCCGGCACGTGCACCCGCGTGAGCTCTTTTTGCATGTGTTGCATTATTCTGGCACAAATGTTTCGTACATTACGAATATTGAATGCCACTAAATGTAGACATTACAAACGTAGCTGTAGTAACTAGTCATCGCTGTCATTCAAAGCCTTACTTGGCCCCTCTGACCATTTGAATGACACTGAAAATCACTCTACTTCATTTTTTTTCTGTAATCCTCTGGCTTTGTTCTTTAGCTACTAGCTAGTTTTGGTGACTCCGGCGAAGTGAAGTGGTAATCGAGATCCTCAACAGAAGAGGGCGCTTCTTTCAATGGCAGTTGTTTTATTCTTTAAAAAAAATAATTAAAAAAATTTAATTATGAAGTTCATAAAATAATTATCTAAAGTGCAACATGAATATCTCAGAAATGAAGCTACGGAGATAATTAATATATCACAATAAAGTTCAAAATAACAATCACCAAATCTTCTAAAAACACAACGTCAAATCTTTCAAAAAAGAAGCTAAAAAAATTATTGAAAAAACTGATTATTTGATATCCGCAGTCTTCTAAAAGCACGACATTAATCTTTCAAAAAAGAAGCTAAAAATTATTGAGAAAAACTAATTGTCTGATGTCTCCGTTTGATACTCTGATTTTTGCATCACTCATGCATAATCTTCATCATCTGAAGGAACACCTGAACACTACTAGTAAAAAAGAATGATGTTATTATCAATATCATCATTATTCAAGAAAAGCATAAACCATCTTAATTTTATTATCATAAGCTGAAGAAAAGATTAAGAATGTAGCACCTTCCGTTGCAAGTTTGGTCATATTCCAACATAAATTATTAAATCAAAGGCTTTTTGATTCTCCATAATCAACATTCTTTTTCGATGAAGCATGCATCGCTCCTTAATTTTGACAATTTAGTCCAACGCTTAAAAATAAAATGTTGCGAATATGTGATTAATTTGAAGTTTGCAGAAAGACCTTAATAATATGAGCACACAAGATAAGGCTAACTCATATAATTTGTATTAACATGCATTACCTTAAATCATTCAAGGTAAGGAAAGTAGATCACCTTACAAGTAGCTAAAATTTATAGAAACTTTTTGGAGCAAACTCATATCTTTTAATCATAGACGACCATTCTGTTTTGAATTCTTCAATAGTGCTTGTTCCATTCACACATTCATCAAATGCATCTTGAAAATTCAGCTTGGTGCTACAATCTTGGCACAAGTTTTCTCTTGCTTTTCTCATTATATGCCATTGACAAAGCCTACGAATACTATTGGGAAATACCTCCTCAATTGCCTTCTTCATGCTATGATCTTGATCGATCTGTTATAATTGCACGAGAATGATTTCCATACGTCGCCTTAAGAAATGTCTGAAAAATCCACACAAAAGAAGGACCTTTCTCATCTTTAATGAGTGCACAACTAAATAATATATACTGCCGATAATGATTAGTACCTACAAAAGAAGCAAAAGACATCCGACACTTATTAGTCATGTAAGTTGTATCAAAGGTGATTATATCTCCAAAGTATTCATATGTCATTCTTACTCTTCAATTAGACCAAAATAAACATTGTAAGATATCTTGATCATCAACTTTGATATCATAATAAAGGGTTTCTTCTTGGAGGCTCTTGAAGTAATTAATATTTGTCTGCACATCACAACCGAATAATTTTCTACATGTTCCTCCTATAAGATTACTCAAATCTTTTTCTATAAATTGATGATGTATTAACACGACCTCTTGTTGGGAATTTAACGCCTAAATCCACTAATGCAACAGAAACGCAGTATAGAGAACAGTACACCAAGATTTACGAGGTTCGGCAACTGCCTACGTCCTCGGGAGCCACACAGTTAATTTCTTATTTAATCTAACAAGAAATTACAAGTTAAGAGCAAATCTCTAAACTGAGATTCCTCAAATTAAACACTGTAGCTACAGTGTTAATACCCACTTTAAAATACCCTTTTCTCTTTTCTCTCTCTTCTTAAACCCTTTCTTTATCTCCCCTCAAATCCCTAATTTGAGAGCTGGAGATCAAAAAATAAAATCGCTGCTGCATTTTCAAAGGGATTAAACGCTGCTGCGTTAAGGGGCTTCGCCACCGCCGCCAGAGAAAAGTCGGGGGAGAGAGCAGCAGGAGCTAGGGCATCGGGGGGGGTTTTATAGCCGAAGTTGATGGGCTGGCGACAGCCTGTCGCCAGCGGTGCAGCGGACGCGATGGTGGGGGGGGGGTGAAACGCGGACATCGGAGTCGCCCAACGCGAGGGTCGCGTTTGTCGAAGCCGAGGGTCGCGTTTGTCGTCGAATTCGCCTGCAGGTTTGCAGCGGACGCGATGGTGGGGGTCGCTCGAACGCGAGGGTCGACGAGCTTGAATGCGCGGGTCAGGTCGTTCACACCGAGGGTCGCGTTCGTCGAGCGAGGGTCGCGTTCGCCCAAAGCCACCATCGCGTTCGTCGTCGAATTCGCTGAGTCGACGCTCGCCTGCTCCAACCTGGAGCTCGTCGGAGCTTCGCCGGAGCTCCTCATCGTCGTCGGAGGTTGGTATCCACCCTCAACCTAACAATCTCCCACTTGGAGACCAAACCGACGGCAACTCATCAAGCTCCTCTCCTGTGTGGCTCCGCCCTCATCATCTATGCATGAAGGCCAACTGAAGTTGCACACAACTCCAGTTTCTGAAAGGTCGCTGCCTTTGTCAACATATCCGCTGGATCCTTTCTTCCTTGGATATTCTGTTGAAATCCTTTGACAACTCGTCGGGCTCTGTATCTTCTGGAACCATTCTGCTCCTTTTTCACTCGATACACCCACTTGTTGTGACGTGCCTTCTTCCCTATGGGCAACTCAGCTAGTCCCCATGTCTGGTTGGAGATCAGAGATTTCTTCTCTTCTTTCGCAGCAAACTCCCACTTGCTCGCATCTCCACTCTGACAAGCTTCATCAAAGCTTTCAGACTCTCCTCCATTTGTCAGCAACATATAATTCATGTATCTGCTGTTAGGCACAGGAGGACGAGTACTTCTCCTCAATATCGGAGCTGGTGCGTCGGGCTCCTGCGCACCGTTCTGTCCAACAGGCTCTTCTGGCTGAGGACCTTCTGCATTGGATTCTTCAGAGAGGTTATCTGGGACATCATCTGCATCTACAAATGTTGACTCGCTCTCTGAGTCACCGTCATCTGTCTTGTGCATGTCCTTGTACATCACCTTCTCGTTGAATGTCACATCTCTGCACCTGATCACCTTCTTGTTTTCGTTGTCCCAAATGCGGTAGCCGAACTCGTCTTCACCATACCCG